ATCTTAAGGACAATGTGAGCTGCAGACTAAAAGAAACATTACTAAGCTGTCAGCAGGCTATGAGTCAGTATCTCAACTGTTACTTAAAGTGGGCTTTTCAACATTACTTTTGACATCCATACATGTTTTCAGAAATATTTAGTGTCATCCCATAAATCTGCTTAAGAAAAAACTCTGACAGTCATTTCTGAGTATAGCAATTATATGCACAGTATGCACAAATCTGGAATGATGGCAGACAAGTTATTTATATTCGGCTTACTATATGTTACTTGATTAATTATGGTTAAAAGAATTCTAGGCTTGATTACAGCCTCAAAATTAGTCTCATGATAAGTTTTTGGAAAACGTTAAGTTTATCAAGGAAGTTGTATTTGAGACAGATGTATGTAGAAAACTAACTAGTTCATCATTCTGGTGACAGTGTTCTAACAATCTCTGTGTTTGGTGAAATATATAATATCTTTCCAGCAGGAGACTTTCATCTCCAACCTGCCATTTCCCCCCATAGCCCTTTAAAAAGGTTTATTACATTAGTAGTTTTTATAGTACCCTAAATATACATGGTACTTTCCAAAAATAGATGAAGATACTGTCCCTGTCTTATAGATGTTACAACTGAAAGGGGCCCAGTGCTACAGGCATTCTGCAACATTCACAACAACTTCAATGGGAATTGAAACGTTAACTTCAAAAGGGAGTTAATGGCACTCCATGGACACTGGACCTGCAGCATCAGGCTCCATGTTTGATAAACGAAACATAAGATGTTACAAAAATAACAGAGGTAGGGACAGTATCATGATTATTGATGAGGTAGAGAAGTACAATTATCCCCATTTTACAAAATGGCAAAAGGAGGCACAAGTGACTTGTCCATGCCCACAACGGAGACGGTGGCAAAGCTGGGATGTTACCCCTGAATCCCAGTCCAGTGGCTTCACTGCAATACTAACTTTCACAAGGGTGAATACATTACACTTTACAAGAGTGTTGGGAGGATAAATCAATTAATGGTTGTAAGGCATTCAGATGCTATGGTGATGGGCTTCACATAAGTGCATATGTATACACAAGGCAGATTCATGTTTCCACATTAACTGCTATTCGCGCTTTTTATTTAAGAACTAGGGGAACAAAAGCTGAAAAGTAGCAAATTCGGAAGAGGAAATACGTTTACCACACAAAGTATAATTAGTCTGTGGAACTCTTTACCACAAGTTGTCAGCGAGGTCAAGAGCTTAGCAGGATACACAAAACAAATTAAATGTTTGTGTGTGTAACAATACCTTCTGCCCGACACACACACCCTCCCCACAATTATGGTAGTAAATATTAAAAAAAAACAAAAAAGAACTTTGGAAGGAATAGAAACCCTCAAACTTTGGGACGGACACCAAACTCTAAACTACTGGGGGTTAGGAGGAAACCTTCCTTGGGGCAGATTAATACACATCTGCCTACTACCCGGTTTCCTCCTCTAAAGCAGATGTTACTAGCCGTTGGAGACAGGATATTGGACAAGACAGATCACTGGTCTGATCTCGTATGGCAATTTCTGTGTCCTTAGAGTAAGAATTTTTATAATAAAAATCACATTTTTACTCATTATTCTTGTACTCAAATGCAGGCACACAGCTGAACCATTTTGGTTCAAACTTTAAAAAAAGCTAGAGACCATGACTAGAAAATTTCAGCCCAATAGCGGACTTAACATTAGAAGTATCTAAAGATATGGGTTTGTAATGGAAGTTATTAGACAACCTTAGTATAGGTCAGTAGTTCTTTTGTACTGGTGACCCCTTTCACATAGGAAGCCTCTGAGTACGAGCCCCCTTATCAATTAAAAACAGCTTTTTATATATTTAACACCATTATAAATGCTGGAGGCAAAGTGGGGTTTGTGGTGAAGACTGACAGCTCGCGACCCCCCCCATGTAATACCCTCGCGACCCCCTGACGTGTCCCGACCCCCAGTTTGAGAACCCCTTGTATAGATGTTTCTAGCACTCCAGCTGTAATACCTATATATTGATTACCAATAGCTAAGGCTACATTTTAGTCACGGGTATTTTTAGTAAAAGTCATGGACTGGTCATGGGCAGTAAACAAAAATTCACAGCCCGTGACTTGTCCAAGATTGTCCTATTTACCCCTAACTAAGCTTGGGCTGGGGGACCGCAAGTGCTCTCGGGAGGACGGTCTGGGGGTGCTGCAGGTGATGCAGAGGGGGAAGCGACTGGTGGGTTGGCCCAGAACCCCTGCTGGTGGGGAGGCAGGCGGCAGTGCGCGGCCAGGGATCCCCCACTGATCCTTGGGGGAGAAGAGGGTTGGCGGGGCTGGCAGATTCCCTACCTGACTTTGCTCATCTCCCCAAAAGTGGATGGGATGTCCCTGCAGCTCCTAAGAGGAGGGAAGGCTGGGGGCCTCAGCTCACTGCCTCCGCCCCAAAGGGGCGCAGTGGCCTAAGAATGCCCCAGCAGTGGCCGGTGTGGTTGGCCCAGGGGCTATCTGATCTGCTCGGGCAGCCCTGAAGCTAGCCACACTGGCCGCTACAGAGGTCACCGAAAGTCACGTAAATCCTCCGTGATAGAGACACAGCCTTACGAATAGCACTGGTGGGGGACTCTCACTCAACTATGCAACATTCAATGCAAGTTCCTGTTTCTGCCTTCAAACTTAATTATACAATATACACACAATAAAAAGAACTGCCTCAGTTTCTCATTTGAGCCAGCTGACAGATGGTAAAAATCAGAAGAAAACCAATCATCATGGTTCAAGTGTGACAGTGATGGAAATCAGCTGTCAAAAAATGAGAAGTTGTCTACATTAGTTTAGTCTAATCTCACAGCAGTTCACATGCTAATGGGCTTTTCTTGATACTTAGGCTTGGTTCTGGTATAATTCTAACAATGAAGCCAGAGTACCACCAGATAAGAGATTTGAGTCAAACTAAGCAAGTCCAAAGCACAAATAAATTAAAATTTTCAATTGTTTATAAGTTTTACAAAGCAAGTTTAGAAAATAACTTAAGTCACAAAAATACCACTTCTTACCATACAAAATTAGTAATTTTATTTAATGCTGCAGTGTAGATTGAAAAGATACAAGTATTTATACTCTCTTTTACCAGCTTCATCAAGACAGATCTATTTCCGTTTGTAACTAGTTTTGTTTTAAGATGCACAATGAATGTTCAAATTGACTTAAAGAAACAGGTTACAGCCTGATATTACAGCTGTACCATGCATGAAACTCACAATGAAGTTAATGGCAGTATTATTCACGGAGCAGCTGCAGAATCAGGCCTACAGTATGACAAAACTAGTAGCACTGGAAACTGAAATTTTACAGTGCACAAAAAGCTTGAAATGCTGCTTTTGCTAACTAGCCAAATACCAGTCCAGACCAAAAATACACTACTCTTGCTATAGGAAACAAAGCAGATTTGAGCTCAGGTCTCAGTACTCCATCTTTCTTCTACAAACGGATATGTCAAATTGACAGTTATGCATGAAAGCTTTAGGCTGAAAACTTGCTCATCACTATAGCAATAAAGACTGCTGATATTACTGCACAAAATGTACATAGCTCTTCATGAAGCTATTTTCCCCCAGACACATCTGTCCTATTTTCAGATATGCTGAGAACCCAAAATTAACCTGAGGGCTTAGGAGATGCTAGTGCTCAGCACAGTTGGAAAAACAAAAATAGGCAAACTGCTGCTACAGATACACAGATTTCAAAAGCAAAACCAAATCGGAAAGTGTCCAAGAAACAATGGTTTACCACTATTTTGTATATATTGAAATATATATATATTTTAAAATAGCACGATCATCTTATTTTTACTCCGAATGGCTACTTATCTGTCAATAACATTTGCTCATATAAACATCAAAAACATGCATTATAAATTAACATGGTAGCCCTTGGTAGAACTATTTGCCTTGAAAAGCATGTGTTCTGTGATTCTGGAAGAAAGAAAAGGAGTAAGGGAGATGAAGACCAAAAGCAATTTTCTCCTCATGTTAGATCTACACAGGTTTCTCAAACTCCCACAGCATTCCTGCTGTAAAGTATAAATAATGTTTGTGCCTCCTGTGATGTCAGGCCTCTCTTGCTGCTGAAATCATCCTCCTCTCTTGTTACTTCAACCGCAGCATCACCTCTCCAGATGTGAATATCTCCATAACTTTCTGTTTCTTACCACATCAATTTCAATATACACATCCTCACTTAGAAAGCCTTACATATATTTTACTGCACCTACTTCCCTGCTCTCATTTTCCCTTATTCAACCCCATCCCCTACTCTCTTCCCACTCCTTTTGCCTCACTATTCCATTTTCTTCCTTCTATGCTTGACTTCACATCTCAAACATCCAAAAGTATCAATATGCTCCATCAGCAAAGCCCTCTCCCCACCTTCAAATTCCTCCTAAAGCCCCTACTACTACAAGAAAAAAAAATCCTTCCTTCCACATCAATTCTCATGTCCTCCTTTACCTCAGCAGTTTGTGGTATAATGTGATTGATTTGACCAACATAGGGCCTGAACCTGCAAGACCTCTGCCTGTGAAACTCTTATTGAAGCCTATGGGAGTTTTGCACAGAAGGTTTACAGGATTAGGCTCCCTTCAATTGTCAGCTCTTCAGGGCAGAGAATGTATCTTCATCTACAAATTGCAAAGTACCATGTAAATTTGGGATACCTGATTACATAATATAAACTTTTGTTGAGATCTACTAATGAAAAGCACTATAGATGAGTTACGAATTATTAGCTGTTTTCGTAAAGTGCTACTGAAACAAGCAGCAGGGGAGGGGAAGAAAGACTCCTGAGGAAAAAAAAAAAAAAAAAAAAAAATCACAAAATACATTATGGAATTCTGAAGGCCTATTTTAAATATGGAAGGGGAAGAAAAACACACTGATCTAATGTTAAAAGCTTTGATCTTCCTCCATTAGCCCATTAGGATCTTTCATACTACATACCTGAATCATCAGCTAATCTGCTGATTCTCTCCAGCACAGCAATACAATCTCTCTCATCATCGCTGACTTCCTTCAAAGTGTCCAGCAAACTTCGAGCCACCATTTGCCTAGTTCATAAGAGAATAAATATCATACAATTTTTGGAAGCAGTAACTTAACATTTTTGATTACTCAATATTTCTTAGGGGTGAACAAGTTTTCTAACCAGACCATAAAAACGGATCTAAATAATTTTAAATTAATAACTTTAGTTAAAATAATCTTAAAAATACCCTAAGGATTTTTAGAGCTATGATAAATATCTGAACTATTAACATTAAATGTAAAAAGCTGAATTAATGTTAATATCTTCAATTTACAAGGACAAGGGAAATCAAAGGGGACGTCAACAACCTGGGATTATGCCCCATCCTCCAGGTGCGGGGGGGGGGGGTGTTGACAGAGTCAGATTTTTGTCCTCAACTCTGAATTCCCCTACTTGGCTGAGGCAAGGTGAGGCGAGACTCTTGCTTTTCAACAGTTTTTGATACAACTCCAGGTTTTATTTCCACTAATGAAAGTATGAGAACTCAGTAAAGACTAACTATAGCCAAATTAAAGATAACCAACGCTGCATTTTGTACCAAGTTATATACATGCACCATGAAAATAAAAACGGAACACATGTACAGCTCTGTTTATGCTTGAATAAGAGATATGAAGCATTCATGTAAATCAGAACCACCTTATCTACTACTTTTAACTCATGACATTTTTATACTGAACCCAAAACATCTCAATATTGACACTACAGACTAGACTAGAAATGTAAAGGACAAGATCCAAGTTTTAACTAAAATTGTAATTTGTTAGTGACATGGATGGCTCTAAATGGGATGTGTTCAGACAACATGGTTAAAGACTGGTTAGTAATTGTAGCCACTACCAACTTTCCTCCTTGTAAGCAGCCTACTCTGGCATATGATTTTCTTTCTGAAACCAGTTTCACACTTTTTGGCGGTATAGATGGGATATACACAACTATCACAAGTTTGGACGGTCCTCTATCTCTCTATATAGTAAGAAAACCCGGACAAGAGTGCATTGCCCCCACAGGCTGCTTGTTCTTTGTGCCTGTCCTTCAAGCTACCTATCCCATTCCTGACACAGTAAGGGATAACCACCTAGATATTCCCAGAATGGACTGGTACAAACATAGTGATGTAGGTGTGGACAGAAAGTTTGTTGACAAATGGGAGGGCCAGGAAAAAATTCAGCTGTGCAGACAAATCAACCACATAATTAAAACTAGATCACATAAGTGTGTCACACACTGGTTGTATTTCTCACATACACAGGGCCTTAAGAACTTTGCAATTCATTTAACTGGAGCCAGGAAAATACAGACCATTTCCATGAATGTAAAGCCTCAACATTAACAATCATTTAAAACTTTCTAGAATTAAAAGTGGTAAACTTTTCCACAATATCAAAAGTAATCCATCCACATTACACACTAACCATCTGCAAAACTGTTTTAAATGAAAAAGAATCTTTTAAGAAACTATTTTCTTGTATATTTTCTTTAAAAATACAACAAACTGTAGAAACTCTTCACTTTTTCCAAGTCTGCTCTTGAAATGAGATCACCCATGCCAAGTTTCAACCTGGAAAAAGTGTTATACATCTCTAAATAGAGAAACAGCTAATAAAAATATGCTCATTGACTATAATGGAACAAAAATATTCCAGCTTGATCAGGATTCATGGTTCGTTCAAATTTTTTATAATCAAATGACCAGAAGTATCTATGTAGTGCTCATAAAAGGGTAAATTTACCCTAAAAACTCAGCTTTTGCTTAAGAAACTCTGTGAGGGATATAAATGACCTCCCTTCCTTTAACTAGCAGGCAAGCAACAGGCTTCACCTGCCATCGCCCAGCCCTACCACTGCCACTCTGTATCCTTTCCCCAAGGTTTCATTGACCACTGGAACCCTGGACAGAGAATCATAGGGAAAGAATGATTACTTTCCCTGCAGTGCATGGTTCTTCAATATATTGTACTCAGTGTGGATCCTACTGTAGAATGGACATGCACCTCATGCACAAGAGATTAATATCTTCTAAATAGCTCGGTCCTTTGACACCATTTATGCACCATATGCCTCCCTGTGGTCCCACACAAGGGCATAAAGGGAAGGACAGCCAAGACCCTCCCTCAATTCAAAACCCATAGGGTATGTCTACACTACGGAATAAGGTCGAATTTATAGAAGTCGGTTTTTTAGAAATCGGTTTTATATATTCGAGTGTGTGTGTCCCCACAGAAAATGCTCTAAGTGCATTAAGTGCATTAACTCGGCGGAGCGCTTCCACAGTACCGAGGCTAGAGTCGACTTCCGGAGCGTTGCACTGTGGGTAGCTATCCCACAGTTCCCGCAGTCTCCGCTGCCCATTGGAATTCTGGGTTGAGATCCCAATGCCTGATGGGGCTAAAACATTGTCGCGGGTGGTTCTGGGTACATATCATCAGGCCCCCGTTCCCTCCCCTCCCTCCCTCCCTCCGTGAAAGCAAGGGCAGACAATCATTTCGCGCCTTTTTTCCTGAGTTACCTGTGCAGACGCCATACCACTGCAAGCATGGAGCCCGCTCAGGTAACCGTCACCCTATGTCTCCTGGGTGCTGGCAGACGTGGTACGGCATTGCTACACAGTAGCAGCAACCCCTTGCCTTGTGGCAGCAGACGGTACAGTACGACTGGTAGCCGTCATCATCATGTCCGAGGTGCTCCTGGCCACGTCGGCTGGGAGCGCCTGGGCAGACATGGGTGCAGGGACTAAATTTGGAGTGACTTGACCAGGTCATTCTCTTTAGTCCTGCAGTCAGTCCTATTGAACCGTCTTATGGTGAGCGGGCAGGCGATACGGACTGCTAGCAGTCGTACTGTACCATCTTCTGCCGAGCAGCCATGAGATGTGGATGGCATGCAGTCCTTCTGCACCGTCTGCTGCCAGCCAAAGATGTAAAAGATAGATGGAGTGAATCAAAACAAGAAATAGACCAGATTTGTTTTGTACTCATTTGCCTCCCCCCCTCCCCTGTCTAGGGGACTCATTCTTCTAGATCACACTGCAGTCACTCACAGAGAAGGTGCAGCGAGGTAAATCTAACCATGTATCAATCAGAGGCCAGGCTAACCTCCTTGTTCCAATAAGAACGATAACTTAGGTGCACCATTTCTTATTGGAACCCTCCGTGCAGTCCTGCCTGAAATACTCCTTGATGTACAGGCACCCCCTTTGTTGATTTTAGCTCCCTGAAGCCAACCCTGTAAGCCGTGTCGTCAGTCGCCCCTCCCTCCGTCAGAGCAACGGCAGACAATCGTTCCGCGCCTTTTTTCTGTGCGGACGCCATACCAAGGCAAGCATGGAGGCCGCTCAGCTCACTTTGGCAATTAGGAGCACATTAAACACCACACGCATTATCCAGCAGTATATGCAGCACCAGAACCTGGCAAAGCGATACCGGGCGAGGAGGCGACGTCAGCGCGGCCACGTGAGTGATCAGGACATGGACACAGATTTCTCTGCAAGCATGGGCCCTGCCAATGCATGCATCATGGTGCTAATGGGGCAGGTTCATGCTGTGGAACGCCGATTCTGGGCTCGGGAAACAAGCACAGACTGGTGGGACCGCATAGTGTTGCAGGTCTGGGACGATTCCCAGTGGCTGCGAAACTTTCGCATGCGTAAGGGCACTTTCATGGAACTTTGTGACTTGCTTTCCCCTGCCCTGAGGCGCATGAATACCAAGATGAGAGCAGCCCTCACAGTTGAGAAGCGAGTGGCGATAGCCCTGTGGAAGCTTGCAACGCCAGACAGCTACCGGTCAGTTGGGAATCAATTTGGAGTGGGCAAATCTACTGTGGGGGCTGCTGTGATGCAAGTAGCCCACGCAATCAAAGATCTGCTGATATCAAGGGTAGTGACCCTGGGAAATGTGCAGGTCATAGTGGATGGCTTTGCTGCAATGGGATTCCTTAACTGTGGTGGGGCTATAGACGGAACCCATATCCCTATCTTGGCACCGGAGCACCAAGCCGCCGAGTACATAAACCGCAAGGGGTACTTTTCGATAGTGCTGCAAGCTCTGGTGGATCACAAGGGACATTTCACCAACATCAACGTGGGATGGCCGGGAAAGGTGCATGATGCTCGCATCTTCAGGAACTCTGGTCTGTTTCAAAAGCTGCAGGAAGGGACTTTATTCCCAGACCAGAAAATAACTGTTGGGGATGTTGAAATGCCTATATGTATCCTTGGGGACCCAGCCTACCCCTTAATGCCATGGCTCATGAAGCCGTACACAGGCAGCCTGGACAGTAGTCAGGAGCTGTTCAACTACAGGCTGAGCAAGTGCAGAATGGTGGTAGAATGTGCATTTGGACGTTTAAAGGCACGCTGGCGCAGTTTACTGACTCGCTTAGACCTCAGCGAAACCAATATTCCCACTGTTATTACTGCTTGCTGTGTGCTCCACAATATCTGTGAGAGTAAGGGGGAGACGTTTATGGCAGGGTGGGAGGTTGAGGCAAATCGCCTGGCTGCTGGTTACGCGCAGCCAGACACCAGGGCGGTTAGAAGAGCACAGGAGGGCGCGGTACGCATCAGAGAAGCTTTGAAAACCAGTTTCATGACTGGCCAGGCTACGGTGTGAAAGTTCTGTTTGTTTCTCCTTGATGAAACCCCCCGCCCCTTGGTTCACTCTACTTCCCTGAAAGCTAACCACCCGCCCCTCCTCCCTTCAATCACCGCTTGCAGAGGCAATAAAGTCATTGTTGCTTCACATTCATGCATTCTTTGTTCATTCATCACACAAATAGGGGGATGACTACCAAGGTAGCCCAGGAGGGGTGGTGGAGGAGGGAAGGAAAATGCCACACAGCACTTTAAAAGTTTACAACTTTAAAATTTATTGAATGACAGCCTTCTTTTTTTTGGGCAATCCTCTGTGGTGGAGTGGCTGGTTGGCCGGAGGCCCCCCCACCGCGTTCTTGGGCGTCTGGGTGTGGAGGCTATGGAACTTGGGGAGGAGGGCGGTTGGTTACAGAGGGGCTGCAGTGGCAGTCTGTGCTCCAGCTGCCTTTGCTGCAGCTCAACCATACACTGGAGCATACTGGTTTGGTCCTGCAGCAGCCTCAGCATTGAATCCTGCCTCCTCTCATCACGCTGCCGCCACATTTGAGCTTCAGCCCTGTCTTCAGCCCGCCACTTACTCTCTTCAGCCCGCCACTTACTCTCTTCAGCCCGCCACCTCTCCTCCCGGTCATTTTGTGCTTTCCTGCACTCTGACATTATTTGCCTCCATGCATTCGTCTGTGCTCTGTCAGTGTGGGAGGACAGCATGAGCTCGGAGAACATTTCATCGCGAGTGCGTTTTTTTTTTTCTTTCTAAGCTTCACTAGCCTCTGGGAAGGAGAAGATCCTGTGATCATTGAAACACATGCAGCTGGTGGAGAAAAAAAAAAGGGACAGCGGTATTTAAAAAGACACATTTTATAAAACAGTGGCTACACTCTTTCAGGGTAAACCTTGCTGTTAACATTACATACATAGCACATGTGCTTTCGTTACAAGGTCGCATTTTGCCTCCTCCCACCGCGTGACTACCCCCTCAACCTTCCCCCCTCCCTGTGGCTAACAGCGGGGAACATTTCTGTTTAGCCACAGGCAAACAGCCCAGCAGGAATGGGCTCCTCTGAGTGTCCCCTGAAGAAAAGCACTCTATTTCAACCAGGTGACCATGAATTATATCTCACTCTCCTGGGGATAACACAGAGAGATAAAGAACGGATGTTGTTTGAATGCCAGCAAACATACACTGCAATGCTGTGTTCTACAATGTTTCCCGAGTACGTGTTACTGGCCTGGAGTGGTAAAGTGTCCTACCATGAAGGACGCAATAAGGCTGCCCTCCCCAGAAACCTTTTGCAAAGGCTTTAGGACTACATCTAGGAGAACCGCAAATGCCAGGGCAAAGTAATCCTTTCACATGCTTGCTTTTAAACCATGTATAGTATTTTAAAAGGTACACTCACCAGAGGTCCCTTCTCCGCCTGCTGGGTCCAGGAGGCAGCCTTGGGTGGGTTCGGGGGGTACTGGCTCCAGGTCTAGGGTGAGAAACAGTTCCTGGCTGTCGGGAAAACCGGTTTCTCCACTTGCTTGCTGTGAGCTATCTACAACCTCATCATCATCATCATCTTCTTCGTCCCCAAAACCGGCTTCCGTATTGCCTCCATCTCCATTGAAGGAGTCAAACAACACGGCTGGGGTAGTGGTGGCTGAACCCCCTAAAATGGCATGCAGCTCATCATAGAAGCGGCATGTTTGGGGCTCTGACCCAGAGCGGCTGTTCGCCTCTCTGGTTTTCTGGTAGGCTTGCCTCAGCTCCTTCAGTTTCACGCGGCACTGCTTCGGGTCCCTGTTATGGCCTCTGTCCTTCATGCCCTGGGAGATTTTCACAAAGGTTTTGGCATTTCGAAAACTGGAACGGAGTTCTGATAGCACGGATTCCTCTCCCCAAACAGCGATCAGATCCCATACCTCCCGTTCGGTCCATGCTGGAGCTCTTTTGCGATTCTGGGACTCCATCATGGTCACCTGTGCTGATGAGCTCTGCATGGTCACCTGCAGCTTGCCACGCTGGCCAAACAGGAAATGAGATTCAAAAGTTCGCGGTTCTTTTCCTGTCTACCTGGCCAGTGCATCTGAGTTGAGAGTGCTGTCCAGAGCGGTCATAATGGAGCACTCTGGGATAGCTCCCGGAGGCCAATACCATCGAATTGTGTCCACAGTACCCCAAATTCGAGCCGGCAACATCGATTTAAGCGCTTATCCACTTGTCAGGGGTGGAGTAAGGAAATCGATTTTAAGAGCCCTTTAAGTCGAAATAAAGGGCTTCATTGTGTGGACGGGTGCAGGTTTACATCGATTTAACGCTGCTAAATTCGACCTAAAGTCCTAGTGTAGACCAGGGCATAGTTGCTTAGGACTCCCTAAAGTGGGTATTGAGGATGGGTCACGAGAGCCACGCTGACTACACCTTGGGAGTGGGATGGAATCACAGTCACCGTAGGTAAGTAACTGTTCATTCTTCTTCAATTATGTGTAACTGGTGACTGGAAAGCAGTGGCCTCACTGGATGGTGGGAACGAGGAATTTCAGCTATATTACTCAAAATAATGATTGAAGTGCTGCTCTCCCAAACTCAGCATCTGACCTAGTTGCTAAGTCAAGGATGTAATGTTTGACAAAGGTCAGGGAGTTGCCCAATGTTGCTACCTTGCAGATCTCAACACATTCCTGAAGCAGGCAGAAGAGAATGCCTGTATCATGGTGGAGTGAGCTTTGACATTTGGAAGAGAGGGTGGCCAGAAATCTGATAAAAAAAGATGGAAATACTGCGCATGATCCATAGAGATTCTCTATGATGAGATGGCCTGGCTTTTCAAAGGGATGGACGTAACCAGAAAGAGGCAAGGGGATAGGCTTAAAAGGCTTGGCCCTGTCAATATAATAGAGTATGGCTCTGGAAATGTTCATAGTACTTAGCTTCTTTTATCCTGTATCCAGTCAGATTTTGGGCAGACTGATTGATTGAATAGTTTAGGTGGAATTCTGAGACCAATTTAGGAATGAACCTGGGATGCAGATATAGCACACTTTGTCCCTGTGAAAGAACATATAGGCAGGTCCAAAGTCGGATCTCTAACCAGTGGTTAAGCATGCAGAAGACTTTTGAGAAACTTGGATACAGTTGGGGGTACAATGGAGCATGACTGAACCACAGAGTGATGTACTGATATTCTTGCGAGGTGAACCATGAGAGCAGGCCAGCATGCTTTAAGTGTGGCATGTAGTTGACAATCTTAGGTATCGGGGCTTCTATCAGGTCCAGACTGCATTGGACTGTCCATATGGAGAACTTCTTCCATTTCAAAGAGCACCTCTTTCCTGTATATGACTTTCCTGAATTGCTGGAAGCAGTCTTTGTCATCAGTGGTCCATCAGCCGATATTCAAGTCATCAGGTACAATGACAGTAGGCGTGGGTGCAGAATCTGACCACGATTCTGTGATATTATGCCTGGGCAGCCTGGGAGATGGATGGAGTGCCAAATGGACACCTGCAATACGTCTGAAAGCCAAAACTGCTTCAGCCAGTAAAGCATTCTGAGGATGAATGTGGCCTTGCTCCTTCTGACCTTGGCTATCAACCTGGGGATCAGGGGGAAAATTGGCAGAAGTAGATTCAGGACTTGAGTCTATTGTTGCAGGAAGCAGTCTGGCAATGAAACAGGGCATTTTATTCCTCTGGAGCAAAAAGTTTGGGTATTTGGCACTGTTCTTGGTGGTGAAAACATCAACGGTAGAAATCTCAAATTGACCAAATAGCAGCTCTGTGATGGATTTCCACAGCAACCACCCATTGTTGGCTACTGCAGGTCTGCTCAAGAAGTCTGTTAGGTTGTTGCTGATTTCTGGAAGAGAATGAGCCAATGGAGTTATCCCATTTGGGCAGCATGTCACGGCTTGATGGCTTCCTATCAAAGGGGTAATGAACCAGCTCCTCCCTGCGTATTTATATAGTGTATTGAGCATCAAGATCTGTACCACTGAGTTCCATAGGAGAGTAGAAAATGCCATACAAGCCAGTCTATGGGCATGAGCTCCAGGATGTTTATGTTTCAAGTCATCTTGGGACCAGGTTCCCTGGACCTACAAATGGTTTAGATGGGCTCCCTATCCTGTTCCTAGTGTTCCTACAATTTGGGGACTTCAATAGCACAGATATAGATGTGAGGTCTTTTTTAGGAGTGGTGGGTGAAATTTGTGGCTGATTGTGAGGAGGTAGACTAGATGATCATAATGGTCCCTCTGGCAAAATGTAATGAGTATCTATGAATCATTGTCAAAGGGGGCAGAGTATTGAACATCCTTTCGTTTGTTCTTGGGGTTTAACCACCAACTGCGCTCTCTCAAAACTTGGAGTAAGACTGTGACCCTCTTGCTCATGTGTGTTTGGACAAAAAGTACTATCCCCTCAGCCAACGTTGTAGAGACCAAAGGTGAAGTTTGGAAAGTGGTGTCATTTATGTGCACACCAACGAGTGGCCTAGTAGACCTCAGCAAGTCTACACTGTCATAACTGGACTTGACTTTAGGTTGTTTATTATTGATCAGAAAGAGTGGAACCTGTCCTTTGGAGATAGGCTTTCACCAATGGAGAGTTGATTGTAGCTCGTATGAACTCTATCATTTGTGATGGAATGAGACAAAAATTAGACTCCTGCCTCTGATCAGCCAGTCGTCTAGGTACAGGTAAACATGAATGTCCTCTCTCCTTATGTGTACTGCTGCTAATACCATTAGGCAATTTGTCAAGATCATCGATCCCATGGAAAGTTCAAATGGCAGTGCCTTGTACTGGTAATGGCTGGGGCCCACTGTGCATCATAGGTACTTCTATGGATGGCTACATGGAAGTATATGTCCTGTAAGTTGAGCCGCTAATCAGTTTTGAGCTTGAAGAGATGGAATGAGGAAGGTAAGTTTTAACATCCTGAACCTGAGGTAACGTATGTATTTGTGGCGTCTCCACAGATCTACCACAGGACAAAGAGTCACTCTCTTCAGAAGAAAGAGGAAGCACAGAAAAAGAAGCCTCTTCCCCTGATTTGAGTTGCACCTCCTTTGGCTCTTAGACAAAGCAATTAAACCACTTCTGCCTGCAATAGGTTCTTGTGAGAGAAGTCCCTGAAGAGGGAGAGGGAAATGGGATGGAGGCAGGCTAAGGAATGAAATTTGATAGAAACCATCACCAACAACTAACCTAAAACCCTTCTTTCTGGTGGCAGACCACGGCTGGTGCAGGAGCAAGGTGGTTTCCAAAGGTTACGTTCACTAAAGTTGCTCTGATGTGGCTCCCAACAGTCCTGTCAAATATGCTGATGTGCCACTGGTGCAGAATGTGTCACTGAGAAGAAGTAGACTGACACCTCCTGATGTATCTGGGCTATTTCCTGGGTGGATAACTGGGCTCTCTAATGCGATAGGACAGGCTCTTCAGTCTCATCTGAGGTGTGTAACAGTATGGTTTTTGATAAAAAGACAGTGCATAGATTCCAAAGGGACGCACGGTAGCCTTCAAAGAATTCAGATTAATTGTCTGTGTGACCGCTGAGCAACTCCATCCCTTCACAGGATAGGTCCTCTATGGTGGCTTGCACTTCCTTTGGAATTCTTGACGCCTGAAGCCCTGAGGTCCTTCTTATAGTGACTGCCACAGCTGCTCCGATGAACACGGCTATTCACAAGACTCCTATCTTGTGCACACAAGGCAAGTACGCACCTACAGTTGGATCCACAGTTATATACTCAAAGAACCTTAGATAACTTTACTCGGGCATGCCAAACTCCTCTTAACCGCTTGCCAATTTGGAACCAGCACCAAGACTTCTCCACAGAGCACAGGTGATGCAGAGACTTCCTATGCACAGCCATTTTATCCCTTTCTTCCCCTAATTTCCATCACAGGGTATAAGTGGTGCAAGATTCTTTTACCAGAGCTTTGCATAAGAAATGAATGTCATCCTACAAGTACACATTTAGAAAAAATAAAGGAAGGTTAGAAAAAAGTTGCCATTTGCTTTCTGCAGGCATTCTAAATCACGATTTGGAAGATTTTTCAAGTTTACAAAAAATAGGACTTGAAACGAGCAAATTTACTACTAGTAATTAAAATATTTGTCAAACAAAGAAACAAACCTAAAAGAGTTTCTGCATCAATTCCCAATTTTACACTGAACTTCAGTGTACCACTACGAATGGAAAGATTAATACCCACACACACACACCCCATCCCTTGGCAAATATCAGAAGTGATTATAAAGTAGATTAAGACCCCTAACACTGGCTTGAGAACAATGGTAAATCTATAACTCCAACTTCTGTTGACATCATTTCAACACACCTTTCTAATCTAAACTCTGAGTCTATGTTTTGAAAATAAAGTATACTTTAGCAGTCTTTCCTTAGAAATGGAATAATTTTCATTTGAAATGTATACACTTAACATTAAATTACAGTTATAAGAAAATGTATTTATCAACCTATAATGGGGTCACAGGGATGAGAGAGAAATAAACCCATCATGCATGTGTAGGGAAGAAGGCAGTTTGAAGGGAAACAAAGAAAGAAAAGATTACTTTATTTTATTAAGTGGAGGTGAAAACCTCCTGAGAATGCATGTGGGGGGAAAGTTAAGAATTATTCCTGTTAAGTTTGAACCTCATAGTCTTGACATTTACAAAAGTTTTGTTTTCCTCACTAACTATTTTTTTTACATATCACAATAAAGTATGATAGGCCTTAGAAAGTTTATTTAAAAAACTACTACTTTGGTGATCTGCTGATTCAACCCTCAATTGCAAAACTGTGAGGAAACATTGGGTGTCAGGGATTTCTCCACAGAAGTAAACCTAAACACCACGAACTATTAAATGCAAGACACTTGAAGAGGAAGAAAATTTTTCACAGTTATAACAAGCTAAACCTTACCAAATTAGAACATTTAAAAACTTTAGTTCAGTCTGAAAAATGAAGGCCCAGTCTGGTAAATTGGGGGCATGTCACTTTTAGGGACTATTCACATGCTTAATATTAAGCACGTGTAAATCTTTAAAGGACAGGGCCCTAAATACCAAAATTAACAGTCTAATCTGCAATGTGACTGAAAAGTATATCAAAAGCAAGCTTAAAAATTAAGAACTGCACATAAACACGTTATTAAAGGTAGTTTAGGTTTAAAATATAATCTTTATTACAATAAAACACCAAAAAACACTTTTACAGTAACTTATATTAATATAAAAATGTTCATGATCTTTTAAAATTCCAACAAAAAGAGGTTTTGGTTTGGACTCAAACATTCCCTTGCAGCATGTGAAACCCAAACACTAGAGCATACATAATACTATTTCACAAAAACCAGAACATGAAATAACTAGTCCACTTGCCTTATCATCAAACACACAGTGGGAAAAATAAACCAAGCGCACAAAAGGGGGAAAAGTAAATTAGATTTTTAAAATGTTTTCAGTTTTAATACCCTAAAGAAACAGTTCCCAAACTGTGGTCTGTGGATTACCAGTGGCCCACAGGATACTTGATTGTCTGCTGAGAGCTGACAGGTCACAAGACACTGGCGCTCCTTGTTTGCAGCTGCTATGTTTCATTAAATAAATAAATATTTTCCTAGTATACCTTTTCCACATAAATTATGACAGCTTTGTGGCAACTACTGCTATGTGATTGTTAATGGGAGGTGAAGTATCCACAGGAACCTATTAGGATATGGTCCACTTTATGAAAAACTTTGAGAATCTCTGAGAATTAAGGTTACTTAACAGGTAAAAAACAAAACAGGTTTTGGTTTTGTGCGGGGAGGGAGGGTGAAGAGATTTGTATGTGGAGGGGGGATTAACGTATAAATTTTAACCTGACACTGTACTTCTAAAAGAAATTTTTAAAACATTTACATGTCACACAGATGAACTCTAATCAGATATCTAAATCAGATTAGTATACAATATGCACCTTGTTCTTTAAACAGAAACAGGACATTTAAAAAGCATACCTGTTAAATATGTTCTCACTTGCAGCGTACTTGTCCAGTCTTCCCAAAGGCGTCAACATTTCATCTTGTGAGACAAAGTCCAGGGCTGAAGGTATAATAATCACATCAGACTCTGAGCTGTAGTCATCCACACCAACTATCAGAGACATCAGAAATATTCCTTATAATCACAATACTTTAACACTAAAATGATGCCCTTGTCTGAGGACAAGCAAGTCTAGGCAAGAATCTCTGTCTCAGATAAATATATACTGAACCACATTTTAAAAATACTCTCATTTTCCTTTAAGTCATTTTCCTTCTATGAAGCCCTCTTTGAATAGGTCAGCGTTTAATCTCAAAACCTATTTGCTTCAACTTGCATGCCATTGCTCCAACTTCCCAAGTCTGAAATGTCACAAAAAGTTTAAAGCTGCAGTAGTTACACAATATTCCTATTTGCATACATCAAATGACTGTTGACTAATCCTTTGACTCTTCAGTCAACTCAACTTTTTAAATACATCTAGGATTAAATATTTCAGTTAAAATCTATAACTATTGAAAGGTGTAGTTTTTGCAGACAGACAGTGTACATCTGGACTAAGAAGCAATTAAATATTAATGCAATTAAAAATAAGATCTACTAAGCACAAAACATAAATGCACATAAATGAAAGTTGAGCACAAAAATGAACTTCAAATATTTGCTGTAACATTATAGTCTGATATAAAATCTAGAAAATATTTCCCAATGCGTCTACTTCTCTACAGAAAAATATACATCTGAAACATTAACTGCACATACACGCACACTTCAATCTGACAAGCAGCTTTATGCAGGTACATACTTGCATCCACATGCAGCCTCAGTAAAGTTACTGGGGCTGTGCATGGGAAGTTCTGCATGGAGCTGAGTGAAGGATGTGGCTTAAGCTAAATCTCTGAATGTGTGTAACTCTTCTTAGGGTATGTCTACACTATCCACCGAATCAGCAGGCAGCGACTGATCCAGCGGGGATCAATTTATCACATCTAGTCTAGAAGTGATAAATCGATCCCCAAGCGCTCTCCCGTCGACTCCCGTACTCCACCACTGCGAGAGGCGCAGGAAGTCGAAGGGGGAGCGGCAGCAGTCGACTCACCGTAATGAAGACACCGCAGTGAGTAGATCCAAGTACGTCGACTTCAGCCATATTATTCATGTAGCTGAAGTTACGCAACTTAGATCGATTCCCCCTCCACCCCAGCATAGACCAGGGCTAAGTTAACTGAAGATTCAGTATAACAGACCAAGGACCCAATCCTGTAATCTTTACTTATGTGAGTACTCCCACTGAGCTCAAATGAGACTACTCTTATACCAAAAAACTGCAGGAACCCCAGGTCAAAAGTGTTACCACTGCAGGTCTGACATCACAGCACTGTATAACTACTTCCCAGTCTGTCTGGCTATTTAAGTTCTGCCATATAAAATGTTCAAGGCTAAAAACTTGGTATATCAGTTTAGGACTATATTTTTTAAAAGCAAAATCAGAAAAATAAACACACTCCTCTACTCACCTTTAATAAAATCATACTCTGGGTATGTCTACACTGCAATTACAAACCTCCAGCTAGCCCGTGACAGCTGACTCGGGCTCATGGGCTCAGGCTAAGGGCCTGTTTAATTGCAGTGTAGACATTCGGACTCAGGATGGATCCTGCACTGTAGGACCTTTCGAGGTGGGAGCATCCCAGAGCTCAGGCTGCAACCCAAGCCTGAATGTCTACACCACAATTAAACAGCTCCTTAGCCTGAGCCTCACAAACCCAAGTCAGCTGGGGCAGGTCAGCCGCAGGAGTTTAATTGCAGTGCAGACACACCCTAAGAGTTCTGAAAGTTAGCATTTCAGGCATATAATTTCTTTTCAATATTCCAAATGCATGTATCCGTAATTTTCTGAATTGAATCCTTACACATTTTAGTTTTCAAAATGTACCTTCCTTAAATACCACACTAGAATATATTATTTTAACCCAAGGGAGTGATATTTTAGAACCTAATGATATTTACATATGAAGAAACATTGTTAAGTCATGTACCCATTCCCTACCTGGGTAATAAACTGCCATTCTGTAATTGCTACAGAAGGTGATGATGAGGAAATATACATGAAAGTTAATGGATGGATGAGCAGCAAATATCCTGAAAAAAAAGCAAAGTGGCCAAATTCTACTGTAGCTGGGAGTCAAATGTATGGGTTTCTTAAGGGAAATCAGGGAGAAAGGAAGAAAATAAGGTTTTGGTAGGGAGGCAGCTCGCAACCAACTTACTAGGAGATCTAGTGCAGTAGCAGCGGAGGAAGCATGGAGGGAAAGGTGGTGATAGAGTTGCAGTTAGAGGATAAGAGAAGACAGACACTCTGCAAACATGAAGTCAGACTGGGTGGAGTGATACTGAACTACTCAAGAGAGCGGCTCAGGAAAAGATCAGCTGTGTAATCAAATGATTGCAGCACAAAGGGAAAACACTTAGCAACCTGTTGCTTACACAACTAAACAGGCACTTGGGGAGGGCAGAGGTGGTTGAGATTTAGGATGTGTCTTCACTACCAATGTTAAAACACGTGCTTTAACGTGGCTGTGCAGTCCCCGCACCAGTGCTGGGAGAGAGCTTTTAAAAAAGAAAAAAAAAGAACCACCCCCATGAAGGGAGTAGCTCCCACCACTGGTGTAGTCTACACCTCCACTTTACAGCGCTGAATCTTGCATCACTCAAGGGTGTGTTTTTTCATATCCCTGAGCAAGAAAGTTTCAGCGCTGTAAAGTGGTGGTGTAGACAGGCCACAGGGTTTCTTTTGGGAATAGGTCTTTTTCTTCACTGGGGGATAGGAGAGGAAGAGAAAGTGTACATGAGTTAACCCAAGGTAACCTTCAACTTGGCCTGCTAACTCAGGTGAAAACTACAAACTACCTTGTCTTTAAAAAGAAAAGGAGTACTTGTGGCACCTTAGAGACTAACCAATTTATTTGAGCATGAGCTTTCGTGAGCTACAGCTCACTTCATCGGATGCATGCCGTGGAAACTGCAGCAGACTTTATTTATACACAGAGAATATGAAAAAATACCTCCTCCCACCCCACTGTCCTGCTGGTAATAGCTTATCTAAAGTGATCATCAGGTGGGCCATTTCCAGCACAAATCCAGGTTCTCTCACCCTCCACCCCCCCATACAAATTCACTCTCCTGCTGGTGATAGCCCATCCAAATCCAGGTTCTGGATTTGTGCAGGAAATGGCCCAACTTTATTATCATGCACATTGTGTAAAGAGTTGTCACTTTGGATGGGCTATCACCAGCAGGAGAGTGAATTTGTGTGGGGGGGTGGAGGGTGAGAAAACCTGGATTTGTGCTGGAAATGGCCCACCTGATGATCACTTTAGATAAGCTATTACCAGCAGGACAGTGGGGTGGGAGGAGGTATTTTTTCATATTCTCTGTGTATAAATAAAGTCTGCTGCAGTTTCCACAGCATGCATCCGATGAAGTGAGCTGTAGCTCACGAAAGCTCATGCTCAAATAAATTGGTTAGTCTCTAAGGTGCCACAAGTACTCCTTTTCTTTTTGCGAATACAGACTAACACGGCTGTTACTCTAATACCTTGTCTTTGTCATGATTTTCCTCACCTTAGTTTATTCAAGTTAAGACTACACCTTTTTTTCATAGTGAAGATAAGGCCTGTGAGATTTGGTTTTCTAAGGATTGCCCAACTCATAGTTTTTATTCCAATTTAATTATATTGGTTTAGACCTAGACACCCAAGAAATAAGACATACCAGAATAAGCCCCTTTATACCATTATAACTATGTCCACATTACTGGCTGCATCAATTCAATTATATTTGTTCTCTAAACTAATACAGTTAAATCAGTACAAAAGCTATGGGTAGACAAGCTCTTACTGACTGTTTAAGTTGGGAGGCATTTGTTTCTCTTTTCATGCTATGCATTATATTTTTAACAGATGCTTGGATGCCTAGATCCTGGGATACGGGGTATTACGTCTAAACTGAAATTAAAAAAACTACTAGAATGCTCCATTAAATATGGCAAGTCATAGCTGAAGCGATTAAGTGTGAATTCTTGTGAATCTGAGTAGTCAGTGCATTTGTATGTTGCACTTCATACACAAAAACCATTATAAATGCCAAGAATTATGGAGGCATGGTAGCAATAACAAAGTTAAGACTGTGAAATTTTCCCTTTGACAGATTTTAAAACCTTTTCTGTAGCTCAGTGTATTTGCTCTCTCCATAAAAATTAAAAAGGGGATGCAGTCTTTGAAGTTACCTTGGATTTTTAAAGGTACAAATGAGCACTGACAAGTGATCCTGGGACAAGTAATAGCCCACAGAAAGTCTCTGTGACAGGGCAATTTTCTGCAATATCCTTGAAAAACCTTAGTGAACTAAGCTTAGCAATCTTCAGAATCCATTGTATTAACTTCAAAGGTTATATATTATTGTGTGTCTCAATAATCAAAGGACTATATTGAACAATGTCACAGACAAGAATGGTCTTTTGCGACAATATGTGTGAAGTGGGTTTCCTGGGAAATATGTAAGAGAAGGTGAATGCATATTCCCCATCTCCAGTTATGCAAAAACCCAGCCTTTCATAGCTATGCCCTGAGGAGTCGGCCTTAGTCTCCTGATCACCTGCTACAGGAGGCCAGGATCAAAGGCCCAAGCTGTATAAAGAAAAGACTGAATGACTCAGGGTTGTGCTAGTTCTGAGCTAAGGCTGTTTTGAATTTGTAATCAAACCCCACAAAGCTGTTTTCTTGTGAAGGACTGACGCCTATCAGACTCCTGGTAAGCTTATTAGAATGCATGTACATATTTTTTATTGTTTTAATAAGTTTTCTCTGTAATGCTTTCACCTTAAGAATAAATGTTCTTCCTTCTAAAAAGAGTTGTGTGGTAACTTGGGACTGCTGGCAATTAGTTATCACAGCCTTTGAAAAGAAATCAGAGAGCAGATGCTGGCTGCTTGAGGCAGTCTGTCTTGCTGGGGATATCACAGTGTAGGCTGGGAACTGTGCAATCTGGAAAAAAACCAGGTCAGGAGGGAGGGAGACGTGTCTCTCTGTCCAAGAGAGTTAATGGCTGAG